AACCCTGACCCCAGCATTCGAGGGGCGGCCTCCCCAGTGCCCAGGGCAGGGGCACGGTCACTGCCCTGCTCCTGCTGGCCACACCACTCCTGATACAAGCCAGGGTCACGGTGCTCTGCAAGGGAAAACACAGAAGTTGCTTGCTCACTATTGGAAAAACAGAGCAAAAAAGCCTATCCCAACATAAAAATCCCAGTGTAATGAAAATAACCATCCCTGCAGAGCAAGGGAGCTCTTTCTGCTGGGTTGGTCTCTACCCACCATCCCGTGCCAGGAGAACATCGTGTCTGCAGCACCCCTGGGCACAGGCACAGGCACCGCCAGCGGACAGAGCACATCCAAACGAGTGAACGATCACACTCCTGCGAAGGGCACCATCCCACAGCCTTGTCCGGATGGCAACCTACCTAACCATGCTGCCCTGTGACCACAAAAACACACAGGCACCGCACAGCTAAAGAAAACTGTTGTTAGAAAAACTCTTGGCAGAAGAAACATTGAAAGAAGAAACATTTAAAGGCTAAATACATTTTTTTGCATCTAGAAAGGATGCTGCATTCATAAACAAAATTAAAAGCTGTTCACAGTACAACAGATTTACAGGTATCCCTTTAGAGAAAACTCTCCTTTTCGAAACCCAGCGTTTTATTTAGTGATGAGCTTTCTTCCCCCCCCAACCAACACAAACAGTTCCTTTGGCAAGAGCAACCAAAGACCAAACAACAGCACGTTCCTGCGGAGGCAATCACGCCCGATTTCTTCTCTGCTGCCATTTCCATTGTCTTTTAAAACCTTTCTTATGTTGTCAAGTACTAATTCTGATTTTAAGTCCTGACTTCAAAATTTCAGCACGCCAGCAGGCGGGTGGAGGCGCGGGCGCTACCCAGCTCCCCGCCTCAGATCTGCTTTCATTTTCCTCAGCCCCTGCAGCTCTTTCTTCAGGTGCTTCACAGCCTGCAGAATATCCTGCTGCTGGGGATCGTCCTCCGCTTTCTCCGTGTACAGAAGGAAATGTTTCACAGTTTCGGAGAGCAGCACTTCGGGATCCGCATCCACCCGATGGAGACGCAACATCCTCTCGCAGGCGATGGCGTAGTTTTTGTGCCAGTTCACCGGGTGATTTGGATGAGAGTTGACAATTTCTTTGTATGACTGTTAAAGGGACAAAAAAAAAAAGGGGGGGGGGGGAGAGGACACAAATTAATTGAACAAAGGGGACCAACAGCTCTTAACAGCGCTTCAAAACTGCCTGTAAAGGAACAGATGCTATTTAGATGTCTGAGTCCAGATTCGGAGCATTTCTGTAACTCACTCGGTGTTTGCCATGCGATGCGCAATAGCGTAAATCAGAAATCCAAGGGGGTCTGAAATCTTTCCCTTCCTACAGCAGCTGTTTGTTTAGAAACGTTACAGATGATCGTGGTAACCCCACCGCGTGCTACGCGCTTCCCCAAGAGAGGTGTTACACCAGGCTGGGGGAATAAAAAAAAAAAAAAAAAAAAAAAAAGATATTTAACTGCTGCGTCTGAAAAGACATTTACTCAGTATTTCAGGAGATCAGGATGTCTTCTACAGGACTTAAGCGGTCTGTTGACTTGAGTGGGAATATTCATAAGCTCAACAGCAGGCACGCACCCGAGAACTTTGCAGAACAGCAAAAATCACAGCAAAAATGGGCAGGAGTTGAAAGGCAACTACTGGTTGACTCTTTGCTGGGGTACGAAACACTCCTCCTCTCTGCTGACACACACTGAGCGCTTTGTGCATCGGTTGGCATCTCGGGCAGTCCGGCATTTCCATACCTACACCAGCTCACGGGTGTTATTCTTTGGTGTGAAATGCAGCAGAATTAATTTGCAGCAAGAAGACTGTCAGATTTCACACTTGCTGGCTCAGATGCATGACGGTGTAACGACAGAGGGGACAAGTGCATAGAGGGGACTTCAGGACAAGCAATCCCTTGGCATGGGTTTGGAGCCCAGCACAGACAACGTAAGTATAGCAAAAGCAGGGTGTCAGCTGGTCAGCTTTTGGCATCCTCCATGACCGAGGGGGCAAGTAGGAATGGATAAAATCCCTGAACAAATCTCTTTGAATCGGCTGTGCTCCCAGTTTAGATGAGCAAGGGAGAATGCAGACTACAGGACCTATAGGGAAACACCGTATTTCTAGAATAGAATAGAATAGAATAGAATCACTTTGGTTGGAAAAGACCTTTGAGATCATCGAGTCCAACCTTTAACCTAACCCTGCCATCCCACCACTAAACCCTGTCCCTAAGCACCTCATCTATCCTTCTTTTAAATACCTCCAGGGATGAGGACTCGACCTCCCTGGGCAGCCCATTCCAGAGCCTGACAACCCTTTTGGTGAAGAAGTTTTTCCTAATCTCTAGCCTAAACCTGCCCTGGCGCAGCTTCAAACCATTCCCCCTCGTCCTATCATCTGTTACCA